GGGTAAGCAGGGGTCCCATCGAATGTTTTCACTCTGTACTGTGCAAGGTACTATCCACATAGCAACATAACATCTTAAATTGAAATTCGGACATTTTAAACTGAAAAATGTATGGAAATCAAGTTCATCGTGAGACCGGAACTCGGATTCACCACGGACACATGGTTGTTTAGCTATTCATCCGATCGTCCAGATTATCCATGATGCATTGTGTGTTGTGGGCCAGGGAAACGTTAGAGCCGGTATACATTGTTTCTCGGCACACCCAGACGGGTTTGTGCGAGCGAATTCCCCTCGTTTCTGCTGTTATCAGCATCTGACAGCGATCCTGCTGCGGTAATCGCACACGAATTTTATACCGGGGTCGGAAATCCTCGGACACGTCCACAGTTTCAGTTGGGTATGAAACCACTGCACTGGTAAGTGCCTCAATCGTTCCGCTGTTCAGCCAGGCAAAGTGGTGTTCACCAATCAGTTCGAATAATCGTTTGACCTTGTGGCGTAAGTAGGTCGTCCCGCATGAACAAGTAAATGAGTATACACAGAATGAGACGGCAGAATCTTTGGAACTTTGTCCATCAGTCGCAAACACCAAATTGGCTCGAATGTGAACAACACACGAAGCTTGGATGCATAGAAAGTTTTATCAATTTTGCCATTGTCTAAACAGTCTCACACAGCACATTTCAAATAGAACAAAGAGTGGCAAACAAGCTCGTTTTCAGTGATTCGCAGTCATACCAAATACATCAAAATAAATATCACGGTGTATTCAACCATAAAAAAAATCTCCGCTGTGTTCCCCGTTGAACGGATCGTCTTTTCCCAATCACATTTTGTAAAGTGTTCTCAGTGTAATGAATTATTTTGTTGACTAAACGGTAAACGAAGTAAATTCTGTTGTTTGGCCGATGCTAAAAAAACATTTGTATTTCCTTCAGATCAGGGTTTTTTATCCAAAGTGCAGTGAAGTCTACTGCAAGAAGTGAGTAGCCACAGATGTGGAACAAAAAAGGCAATCGTTCAGTCAGATACGTCACAAACAGAAGTGAACATGCGAGATGGAACATAGTTTTGTGAATCCCCTTTCCGCTGAGTCCGAAAGAATTGGCGTATGTTGCCATAAAATAACCCGGCACCCTCCATCCGCGGTTCACAAATCATCCAAATCTTCAAAATCAAATAAACCAGTTTAATTTCATGACGATTCACATTCTTTCACAGATTTGGCATCACATCAACCGATAACAATTCTTATCTGTTGCTTTCTTCTATCCACATTTGAACAGACTTCCTTTAATTTGTTTTTTTGTTTTTTTTTTGGGGGGGGCAAGGGGAAGGGGTGATGAGGCCGAGGTGTGTGATTTAGTTGTGTCTCAATGATTCAAGGATGAGAACAGTAGTTGCCGACACTCGGAGGGGGCGGGGGCGGGCCAAAACGTTCAGTTGACCAATTGTTAATTCTTATCATTTAGTCCCCTCCCACCCCCCACCGTTTGGAGAGTTGAATCCGACTAAGGCTTATCGCGCATTACCAGATGGAATGCAAGAAAGAAAGGAGCTTGATAAGCGAATTATCTTCCTCCGGGATGCATCGAACATCCAGCATCAATCATTATTACTCCCCTATGAATTATTATTATTATTATTATTTTCATGTGACTGCTTGTTTTATTCACTTTTGCATGAGCTGCATGAGATAATCTCTTTCGACGAACGCGGTTGACCTGATATTTGAACATGATTACAATGCTGTTCACTTTTCAGTCAGAATATAGTTCAGGCATTTAGTTCATATTTTCGTGCATGTCTGATTCCAAAAAAAAAACAAAGTAGGGTACAATATTCTTAATAAAAAAAAACCTTAGTGGGGTCTGGGCGGGCGGGGGGGAGGCGTCTCGGGTTGCAGATTTTGTTCCTCCCCCCCAGGCCTCCCTTGCACACTTCGCAAAATGCTCCTGTGCTGAGCACTCACTGCCTTCTCCTGACGATGTTTTCCTACCAAATTGAGCGAACGGAAAGCCAACATTCGGGGCTGTACCACTGGCAGTTCAATTAGGGAAGTTGGCGAAAAACCTTAATTATAAACGAATTAACACGAGAAGTACAAACCGCCCCCCCGCCCCTCAAACACACACGCACCATCCTGGTTATAGCATTGGTTACCAGCTCTATTGGGCACCGGAGCATATTGGGGACCTTGGGCGCATGGATATGTGATCGGATGCACTGGACATCGGTATCCGGTGAGTAACGGTTTTCACATACCACCCTACTGGCTTACGGGTTGTACTTTGGCTAACTAAAAGCTGCGGTTGTTAATTCTCGGAGAAAATTCACCTGCTTTGGCTAGGGCAACTTTACCCTCGAACAAATCATGGATTTTTTTTCTCTTACCAAGAATATTGCAGCTTGATTTGTTTCGCTCATAGTCAGGATTCATATGTGTATGGAGATTAAAAAGAAAGAAAAACAGTTCCATGGTCTGCTTGTGGGAGCAACACGGCCAGGTAACCCATGCTGAAACCGGTTCACTTTTTGGAAATTCACAACCGGAGTCTTTGATTAGCCAAAGCCTGGCCCACAAGGTGACAGGGTGGTCTGTGAAAACCACAATCAATTTTGGAGCTGATGTCCAGCTCATCGGATCGTGTGCCCTTTGGACGAGATCAAACACGTCAGATGCCCAATATACCTCGTTGCCCAATGGAGGTTTTCTGTTCCTGACCATCACCACCACCGCCACCACCGCTCCCACCATCACCACCACCGCTGCCACCACCACCACGATCACCATCACCACAATCACCACCACCGCTCCCACCATCACCACCACCACCATCACCATCACCACAATCACCACCATCACCACAATCACCATCACCACAATCACCATCACCAATATCACCACAATCACCA